AAAAGTCCTCAAGAGTGAGGTAGCCTGGGGGCAGGGAGGATGCCTTAGGGGCTCAGTTGTTTAAGCATGAGCCCCTCATTGGGTGTAGAGATTCTTTAAAAGCAAACAATAAAAAGCGAGGTAGCCTGAAGGCAGGAGAGGGCTGGCCATCATCTACAACATCATCTGTTGGCCATCAACAGAAGATACTGGTGGTATTGTGGCAGGTGATGCAAGAAAGGCAGAAGTTCAACTGAAGAGGGCTTGTATGTGACCTAGAAGGTTTGGGACTGAATTCTGTGTAGGAAAGATTCTTGCAGGGATTTGAGCAGGGCAGAAATGCAATCAGCTAAAGATAATGTGTAATAGCTTTTTACAGCTTTATCACTGGATTTTCACTGCTTTACACGGTGCACGGAACTTGCACTGTGCAAATAAACATGTTAAATGAATGGACTCAAGGGGAATAGGCTAGATATGGAATTATCAATTAGGTTACTGTAATAGATCAAGAAGAGGCAGATGCAATCAACAGTGCTGAGGTGAAAATGACTGCCTTTGATATCTGGGTTTGGGCTTATGGGGAAGGGAAGTGTTAAAGAAGGCTGACTTTGATTCTGTTCCACCAGGAAGGTGGGGATATTGGGGACAGCCTGGTTGAAGGGGGGAAAACATGGTTTGGGGAGAAGAGGAATAAGGAAAGTCTCATTTCTGTTTTGGATTATGTTGTGCTTGAAGTGCTGGTAAGAGATCTAGTAAAAGGATTTGCACGCATTCATGAGCCTTTATTTCTTGAGGCGGCACCATGTTCCTATGCTTGACTTTATCCCTGGTTTTATACAGATTTGTACTGAAATCAGGTTGATATTTTCCTTTCATCCGATAAAATTGTGGGGGTAAATACCTTAGCAGCCTATGCAAGAGCTACCCTAAGCAGTAACAGAAGGGGAAAATGCATTAAAGCAGCTACGTAGTTGGAGGTGAAGTGATCTTCTGATTTCATGCTTTAAGCTGGGAAAATTTTACCCTTCACCTTAGGTAAAATAGATGGAGGAATATATTTTAAAGAAATACATTTTAAAGGACAGACCCTGTATTTAGAAACGAGGTAGTATCGGAAAAATATGCATGTACCTAAAGTAATAAATCAATGTAATCAGAGGTGAGGTGGTATTTATTCTTCTGATTGAGGCTTTTACTCATTAGAACCTTCACAAGTTGTCTTTCGAGCCCTGCTGGTATTATAAGGGAGTCATTCCTTCCTTCCCATGCGGTATTTTGAGCTATATATATTGGGGGGTGGTGGTGGGGAGACATGCTCAGACAGATTATCAGTCCAGAACACGATGCTCTCCTTCCCTTCCTTTCCCCAAACTTCATGGCCAACGTCCCGACTCTCCCACTGCACCCGGTCTTCCCCCTCTCCCACGTGGCTGGAGCTGTACTGATCCCGCCAGGAGTGGCGCTCTCCCCCAAGTCCTGCCTGGCAGGCACGTGCCCCAGGGGCGGTTGCAGAGCCCAGCAACGGTCCCTTTTTGTCCAGTAGGCGGGCGCCGGAGCGGGTCTGGCCCGCGCGGGAGGTGGGGCGCGAGTCGGGGGCAGGCTGGAGCGCGCCAGGTCGGGGCGCGAGCCCACCCCGAGAAGCCGCGATGCTAGCGACGTGAAAACCGACAGTTGGAGTTGGGGATGGGGAAGCTCTCCGGTTTGCAACTGAATGCGGTGAAGCAGAAAAAGCAAGTTGCAAAACGATTAAGTGTAGTGAGATCGCATTTATGTTGGAAGGTTCACAGCGCCCAACTCTCAGTACACATTTCTGTATGTAAATGCATTGGAAATGGTCTGATAGCAGCTCTGGGGGAAAGGAGTAAGCTGGGAGGGTGGATGAAGGGAGCTGACTTTGTACATTGTGTATTTTTGAGATATGTAACATTATTATTTGGAAAATGTGATCATGTAATTGAAAAAATATCTGCATTTGGGAAGTTTTGGATATCTTCTTGCTTCCCATCTGTAGGGAACTGCTCAGACTCTCAAAGCACCCGCAAGATAGGAGTCAAGAAAAGTGTTTTCACGTTCGCCTCTTCTCCCTTCTCCCTGCTTCACCTCTTTTCCCCCTCAACTTCTTATTCCAAATCCTTCGAATTGACCTTGGCCTTCGCAGAGGAATCTTCTTCACAGCCCTGTTCTTATCACAGATCTGCAAAATCGCACTCACAAAGAGCAAATGTCTTGAAGATGGTACATTACAGACACATAAACCAATGAATTAGGCATTACTCCTAAACCGTATTTGATAAAAATTAAGATAAAATGCTTACAGGATATTTCTATTTTCTCCTAAAAACTTATGCATACTAATTTCTATTCATTATATCTATTCACACGACCACATGATATCGTTTCTCATTCCTAAGTTTTACTTTGACATAATTTGACTTAGAAAAATGTTACCAAAATGGTACAAATAATTCCTTCATGTCCTTCACACAGCTTCCTGATACGTTAACATTTAATACAACTAGAGCACAATGATTATAAGTACGAAATAAGCATTACTACTCCCATGTTAACTAATCTACAAATGTTACTCAAATTTCTGCAATCATCCAACAAATGCCTGTTTCCCCCCTTTGGTCCAGGCTTCAGTCCAGGATCTTACAATGCATTTGTCATGTTTAGATAGATACTTCTGACCTGTAATAATTTCTGTTTTTCTTTTTCATGATGACACTTTTGAAGAGTACTACTGGCCATTTATTTTGTGAATATTCTTTCATTTGGTTTGTTTAGCATTTTCTCATTGTTAAATGCATGTTATTGCTTAATTAATTAATTTGGCAAGGATGTCACGGAAGTTATGTTGTGCCCTTCCCCAATGTGTCCTATCAGGAGGCACAGGATGTCATTGTGTCATTAATGGTGAGGTTAATTTATTACTTGGTTGAGGTGGAGGCTGCCAGATTTGTCCGATGAAAAGTTGTAATTTTCCTTTAAGAATTGGATCACAGGAGGCAAAACCCTCATCATATGTACACCAGTTTTACTATTCATGGTTCTCAACCGCAACAGTTGGTGCTGTGGTGTTTGCCAATGGTGATTTTTCTATTTCCATCACTCCTGTTAAATTTTAATATGAATATTTAAATGCACAGTAACTTCTTAAAGGAAAATACTTGGCTTTTACTTTTCTGTTTTAACCTAGGGGAAAAAAGACATTTGGAGGCTGTGTGATATGTTGTGGAACTAGCAGCTAAAATGGAATTTATAAATTGCATTACAGATAAAGTGAATTTTAAAAGAGTATTTCACTATTCTTAGTACTTGTAAGGAGATAGATTCTAAAATCACAATTTACATGGGTTTACAAGTTCATGAATTGGCTTTTATTACTCCTGTGTTTGTGCCCATTCTCATAAGTGGTACACGTAAAATGATACTTAGCAGTAGAACAAAAAGTCTCCCATATTATTTCCAATATGCTGTTAATTTTAGCTGGCATTTGCAAAACTGTTCTTTAAATTAACAATACATTTGACTCTCAGCCAATATTTCACTTTATTTAGCCTCAATGTTTGCTGAAAGGATTTACTGGAAGTTGAATGGACTATAAGGAAGGTAAAATTCTTGTGGGTGAACTTACAGATCTTTCAGTCCATGGGTTATTTGACTATCGAGCATTTTGATAAATCTCATCTGATTGTTACCCTGTGCAGCACTTTCCCTAACCTTTATAATTGCAGACGGAAAACTGGTTCAAGACTGGGTCTCAGCCTTGATGTCAATTTTCCTTGCTTTCTGTAAGAAGGAAACAAGAGAGTGAATTTAGTTTATTTATTTTCTTAAAAATCATTGACCCTTTTGAGTATCTGATGTCTTTGAATCCTTTCACCAGGAAAATGCCCAAGCCCACAGGTTGCATTAAAGGGAAAGGAATCTAGTGTCAAATGGGGGAAGGTAGGGAGGAGGTTACTGGAAGGGAGAAGCTGGTTGCCAGTCTGTCAGAGGTTCCCCAGTTTCCCCTCCTGCCATATGGCACAGCCAGCCTCCCTTGGCAGCTTAGGTGGGGCTGCTGTTTCCCTCTAAACCCCTCCCTAAACCCCCCAAATCATCCTCTCCTTCCTGATGTAGCCCCCAGTCTGCTCAGCTTTCCTGCTGGCTCTGCACTCCTCCTGAGGTGCTCCCTGTCGCCAGCCTTCACCAATGCCTTCATCTCGCTCACCAACCTCCTGTTTGGGAAGAGAGCTGAGAAGCTCAAGTGAGAGAACCTGGCCCCTTCTAAATGGCTACAGCAGAGAACTTATTGAATCAATGTGATGGCTCCCCTTTCTCATTAGCACAGAAATCTTGCCACGTTTTCCTATTTGAAAAATGGAGCGAGAGCTGATGAACACGTTGGGGGAACACGTCTAAGATCAGTGGTTTACACAAACGGGGAACATTATTACCAATGCAGAGGAGGCCCCGTTATAACGAACCTTTTTTCCCCACCTTGAAAATGGAAAGAACGTGAACTCACAGAACCCGCTTCTTCGCCCGCCAACCCTCTCATCTCCTGCTGGTGTGACGGCCCTGGGCGCGTGGCCCAGATGAGGCCCGCCACCGCTCGCGGCAAAGCTTGGCGCTTCTCTGCGCGCGTCTGCGGACAAAGAGCAGGCCGCGGCGGCGCTGGGCCGCCAGCCGGGAGGTGGAGGCGGGCTACGCAGCGCGCTGGGGGAATCCCTTCCGCATTTTTACGTCACCGCAGCGCTGGCCAATGAGAAGCCGGACGGGGGAATTCCCGCTCCGTCTGCCGCCCAACAGGCTTTTTAAACGGTACTCTGGGGAATGCCGTCTAGGAGCAGTGGGAGGAATGGGGGAAATGAAAATTAAGGGTGAAAAATGATGGTCCCTGGGGGAGAAGGGGGTGGTGAGACTCTAGATGTTTGACGATTAGGCGTCAAGACCGACTTAGAGCTGGGGGGAAAACCAGAGCCGATCGGGCGGGGGAGGCCAAACTCTAGGTGGGGGGAAGTTCTGCCGAGATGGAGTGGAAACTGGAGCGCACCGCCCCGCGGAGGGTCCGGACAGAAGAAGAGATACTGTGGGTGAGTGATGTCCTTTTGTTTCCCAGGGACTTCTCGTCGAAGGCACTGTTTAATAATACCTATTTAGGGCCAAGATGTAGCATAAAACTCTAAACCCTGATCCTGCATTTTGCGATCTGTAATTTAGTTGCATACCGGAGGTGCTTGCTTGCTAAAGAAAAAAGTAAATGCAGCCGGACAACCTGAGGATGTATAAACATCCCACGCCTAGCATTATGATTTTTAAAAATAATTTTTCTCTCTATATGTTGTCTATATTTTCGAAGGAGAATGTCATGCGGGTGTTCGCCAAAGACCTGAAGCAGAAGAGCAGTCCACGTTCTTCCAAGGTGAGTATCTAGGGCTTGCTCTAGTTCTCTTAATTCTGATCTTGAACAAAATAATTTTTCCTAAAGAAGATATTTGTTGGAAGTACGGCGTGGTCTGAAGATATGAAAATTTAAAAAATCAATCTCCTAAGATATCACTAACTACAGATCTAATTATACACTCCCCTACCCCCTATTTCTGTAGGAAGGTGAAGATCCCTGACAGTGGTAATCATTTGTATACCGCTGGTGCTTTCTAGTTTTTGCCTCAACCGGAAAGCATGGATGTGTCAGGTAGGCAGTGCATTGCTAGCTGGCTGTTAATTTTAACAGTTGCGAGTTGCACTTGCCATTGTTGCAGTTAAGCTTGCCTCCCAAAAAAGGGGAAATGGTGCCATCTTGTGGATAACTGGAGAAGTGGCCTAATTGATGGTCTGTCCTTCCCTTAGCAATTTAAAGTTGATCCAATGTAGTACTTTTTCTCCTCTTGAAAGTCTGAAGCCAAAGGCCTGTAGCTTCTCTTGTAATCAGCGTAAAAATAAAACAAATCTATGTGAGTTTTTCTTCTTTTTCCCACATAAACAGCCCTCATATGCTTTATTTTTTTAAAAAGATTTTATTTTTATTTATTTGACAGATCACAAGTAGGCAGAGAGGCGGGGTGGGGCGGGGGGAACAGGCTCGCCGCTGAGCAGAGAGCCCGATGTGGGGCTTGATCCCAGGGCCCTGGGATCATGACCTGAGCCGAAGGCAGAGGCTTTAACCTACTGAGCCATCCAGGCACCCCCTCATATGCTTTAAATCTCTCACTATCGCCATTCACTTTGCCTTCTCTCTACCCCAAATTGTTCTTATTCCTTTAAACTTTCCTCATAGATTTTAGTTTCAAACCCATCAACATTTTTACAGATTTTTCTTATAATTTAAAATTTTCAGTATTTCAGTGGTGTTACAATAAATCAAACACAAAATGGCCCTTTCAGAATGTAATGACTAATGTTATTTATAGTGGGAGATGATGAACAACAGTTTTAAGTCCTTACATTCCCTAAATACTTTAATATTGATTTTTTCCCCTCCAAAATAGCTGCAGTTTTGTTTTTTGCCCAGCTTATGTATTGCCAGGACTCCTACTAAATATTTTGCTGCCTAATACAGACAACTGGTCTTTTGGTCGGTAAATAGAAATAATTGGAAAAGCTACAGTTAAGTATAACTTGGTTATTTCATATGTACCATAGTTTGATATCCAAGCATTTACTTTAGAATAACTAAATGCAAATATTCTGAGAGTTTTCTTTTTTAAGTTTTTATGATTTAAAAATAATGTTTTTATATTTTATAACTGTTTTGGAGGAACAAGTTTTGTTCATAAATTTTCTTTTATGGGACTCTTAAGATTACCATTGTGCCAGTGTTTCACGTCGCAAATTAGCTTCAGTGATGTCATGGGCCATGACAAGCAGGAGTGACCTGAGTCAGGTAGGCAGTGTGTTGTTAGCTGGCTGCTTTGGGTCAGTATGGCAGCCACAACTACCCTGCCACTTGCTTCTGGATAAATTCTTCTTGTTAACAAGCTGTACTAGTTACCTGTGTGTGATGGGTTGGCAGTGTATTGTTAGCTGGTTGAATATATGAACGGCATCAGCTAACCTGCAACTGCTCTCTTATTGCATATACAATGGACATCAGCGTATAATTAATTCTGTGATTAGTGTATGTGTATGTGCGTATGTGTATACTTTTTGCTATGAACCGGGACACTAGTTGCCATAATACTCATAATTGCTATTCCGTTACCCAATAATAATACAATAGAAAGCTTTATAAATAATGAAGAAACCAATACAATTAATTCTTTAAAAATGTCCCAGGTAGTATTTTTGGAGGTCTGGGTACACAGTATGAAAGTACTTGTGATGTGGTGTATATATTTTTAATATAAGATTTAGAATACAATGACAATTTGAAATGGAAAGCCTAAAATGTTTTCCCAAGTTTTCAACTGAATCTTTAGTATTCTCTCTAGATAATCGGTTTCTTTCTTTCTTTTTTTTTTTTTTTAAAGATTTTGTTTATTTAACAGACAGAGATCACAAGTAGGCAGAGAGGCAGGCAGAGAGAGAGAGAGGAGGAAGCAGGCTCCCTGCTGAGCAGAGAGCCAGATTCGGGGCTTTAACCCACTGAGCCACACAGGTGCCCCGATAATCAGTTTCTTAATACGACATCAGAGCAGGTCTCTAAAACCATGTGTATGTACCAGTTGAATGGAGAATTGAGGTAACTTTCAAGATGAGTCAGTCAACTCCAACATTTTCACTTGAAATACCAAGAAAATTGGAAGTTTTGGGGGTGGGGATGGAGTTGAATAGTTTGGAGGATTTGCTTCAATTATTCACTTCATCTTCTGTGAAGTCACAGACTCATAAAATATTTGGAGTAGAACATGAAATTTAGCTTGTGAAGTGGGAAGAATTGACTGTATAATATGCTTTTAAATATTTTCTGATTCCTTTGGGGGCCCATGCAACTGGCTCATGCAACAATGTCAAGTATGTGCTGGGTCCCAGACATACAGTGACATACATGTCCTCATGTGGACATTTGCAGCAAGTTCATGGAACTGACTTTGGTGGTCTGGTCAATTAGTCATATTCTAAGTGAGATGTGAGAAATATATTACAGGGGCGCCTGGGTGGCTCAGTGGGTTAAAGCCTCTGCTTTCAGCTCAGGTCATGATCCCAGGGTCCTGGGATCGAGCCTGCATCCGGCTCTGCTCAGTGGGGAGCCTGCTTCCTCCTCTCTCTCTGCCTGTCTCTCAGCCTACTTGTGATCTCTGTCAAAAAAATAGATAAAATCTTAAAAAAAAAAAAAGAAATATATTACAGTCTACTCTACTGGATTATAAATTACAATTATAATTACAATTTTAATTCTTATTTTAAGTTTAAACATGTAAATCATGGGAGATAGATGCCTATAATTGGATTCTTTTTTAATAGGTCTTTTTTTTTTTTAAAGATTTTATTTATTTATTTGACAGACAGAGATCACAAGTAGGCAAAGAGTCAGGCAGAGAGAGAGAGGAGGAAGCAGGCTCCCTGCGGAGCAGAGAGCCCGATGTGGGGCTCGATCCCCAGCACGCTGGGATCATGACCTGAGCTGAAGGCAGAGGCTTTAACCCACTGAGCCACCCAGGCGCCCCCTATAATTGGATTCTTTATGCATTTTCTACTTTCACATCTCATTCTCTTTTCATTGTTGCCCATTATCATTTTATTTTCAGCATTTTTTAAGGATCCTTCCCACATAAATATTATTTTCATTTTCTTTTTTCTTAAAAGGTTAAATTTCAATGTGTTCTTTTTTATGGAAAGTCTCTGACCTGTTGATAAAAATAAAACCTACTAAATTAAGAAGGCTTGGCCTTTGTGTTTTAATTTTTTTAACTAAAGAACAAGACATAAAATGCCAACATTCATACTCAATGATCAATACATATTTAAAGCTGTTCTTCCATTCCATATTATTGAGATGATGAGAAAGGAAGGAAAGAATGGAACACAATAAAGAGAAATTAAGGAGATCAGTGGGTAAGGAGGAGAATGACTATATAAATTCAAAAGAAGAATGTTTTCATAGGAGTAAGAGGGAAAGAGAGGGATCCATACTTGGGACATCAAAGCTACTTTTCATTCCCCCCAAGTGTTAGCAGTTCAGCAAAGGGAAGGAAGAGAAGAGTGGGGAACAGTATGGGATGTTAGTTTCTAGGCATGACAGTTATTAGAATTTTATTATTCTGTGGGAAAGATGAAATCCAGGTAAGGAATAAACATGGACATAGTGTTCATATATTGTCTCCACCTAAATATACCATTTTTCTTTCAAAGAAACACCACAAAGGACATAATATTTTGTACAGGGATCTCTCAAGACTTTTTACTTTGTTCAGGGTAGTCTTCTGAAACAGTAAATGTGTTGAAACACACAAAAAACAGGTTTTTTTTTTTTCTTCTGAGGAGTTGTCTACATTTTTTTTTACTGTAGTATTTTCCTACTTGAGGTTACCTATAGACAATCCAGTGAAGTCATTAGATTTTACTGTCATTAGCATATTGTTAAAAGCTTTTCATATTTCAGTAACTGTATTTCCACATATTCATATAGCCCACATAAATAGTACATAATAAAAATAAATAATATATAATAAGTTTTTCCTCTAGATAAATCTCTTAGGAGATCCTTATGATAACCTAACAAGTCTGATTTTTAAGAATTTTGGTGTCCTAGAGCCCACTGATAGTGGGTTGTGAGAAATGATTGTTAAATTTTCAGAAATTTGGCATGCTAGTTATTAAGACATTGGTAGATGGAAGTTGGCCACGTGGGAGCATTTAAACCATGGAAATTGGCAAGTGCTGCAAATTGGGACCCCTCTTCCAGAGATGTGATGGTTATCAGCCACTGGGTATATGCTATCTATTCCATAATTACTAGGAACTGTATATAGCTACGTCTATATATACTATGGATATACTCTAATTACTAAGTATTTTAAAAAATGAAGTATGACTTTCAGGATATATCTCAGGCAAATTCATATTTATTCCAGTCTCCAACACTATGGCTATATGTGCCATGAGATGAAGACTGGGAGTTAGAATGCAGTACTCCTTCCTACCCTCCCAATAAGCCAAACTTCAAGCCTATGAATTATCACAATTAAATGCACTTGATTTTGTCCCTTTGTCATAATGGCCACTGAATGCCCTTTGATGGGATGCCAGCTGTTTTCTGTTATATTCCTCAATTTAGACAGTAGTCTGTGTCTCAGGCTTTTTGATGCCGAGACAGGGAAGATCTGCTCAGTTCATGAAAGCTACATTTTTTTCCCTCTGTATGTGTGTACCTGGTGGAATTCACATAAGACATTGGAGTTATGGATAGCAGGACATCAGCAAATAGCTCCACACCCTCTTTTAGCACAGACAGCCTCATTGTTACAGAACCTTCAATGGACA